CTTTATTTCATCGGTACATTATCATTTAATAAAAGATTTGTTACGTTTCTTTACAATATGGTAAGTAACTTGTTGCCTGAAAGTATTTGAAAGTATTAAAAACGATTACAAAATTACGTCGACGACATGCTATCTTAGAAGACTCAGTCGAAAATGGAAGCACAAATTCTCACATTAATTGTATTAATTGTTGAAAATCGTAAGCGCTCCAAAGATCGAGACATTCCAAATATCAAGGATTCATTCTGTTCCGCTAATTAATTTTGTTGCAGACTTTCATTACTTTCAATCTTAAAAAGAGACCATTTTTCAACAAATAGAATGTATCCTCAAAAATAACTGATAAATGTTTGCAAGCATTCTGCGTAGTCGAGAGACCTCTTCTTTATTTCGAGTAGGAGTAGGCAGTATGTATTTGTTCACAGGAAAAAAGCAATGATGCCCGCTTTGTGTACATCAATCAGGATCAAAGAACTTCAAAAATTATTTAACGAAGTAAGTTATGTCAAATGCGAATGAATTGTGACGAAAGTTTATCAGATAAACTTTGTATTTAGCAAAAAAGTGTACTTAAAACGGGCATCATTGCAGTTATAAGTTTATTCTACGTCCGGTTAAAAGAATATCGTGACATAAGACGAGCCGTGTACATTCAAGATTATAGGAAATCGCAAGTTCGATTCGCGTTTTAACAAATCATGTTATTACATGTTGGTTTAAAACACGTTTCATGAAAATTATATATAAATATGTGTATGAATTATATTAAAATTATGAATTGCACTTAGACACAATGATCAGGCATAAATAAAGCTTAACGTGATTTCACACTGAGAAAAAAATCTCATCTCGGTTTAGATTTTATAACATAATAATGTTAGTAAAAAAAGCAATACGTAATATGGTTTCACGTTACGTTCGCACATTTTACGTTCGCACTTGAATTGTTTACGACAAGAGAATGAAAAATAATCAAGTATCTTAATCACAATTCAAGTGTAAAAGTGAAATAGTTAAATGTGTAGGTAAAGTTTTCCTCAAGTCTTTGATTCGGCATAAAACTAGTACTTACGGTCCTTTACCATCGTGGATGAATCTGATGGAAAGTCCACTGTTGATACGTATTGTTGATGTCGCATGGCATCAACGACAATTGTTGGGTTTGAGGATGGAGCGCCATGCACTTCTTGTGCAATCTGTGCAGCATTGTTTTCGTTTTCTACAAAAGGATACACGAAATTTAATTACACACAGAATTGATAATGAAAATGATGCACACCTTTTGATCCTCACCTCGTCGTACTGCCATGGACCATCCACGGTTCCCAAACGACAGAATACAAATTTCACGCCCTGGTTATCAGCTGATATGCACCGTTCTCCAACGCCTAATTGACCTCTCGCGTTTAATCTAATTAACTAGACGATAAAAACAAATCAGTCATGCCTTACAGATAACATATTTCGAGAGTAATTGTTAAAATTACCTGATTATTTCCAAATCCATGGCAATCAGTCGTGGCCATTAAACTGGGAGGTGAATGACTCATTGTGTCTAGACATGACCCTGTTGCTACGTTGCGTAACTAAAATTTAGAAGAATATCACGTGAGTTTTTTCAAAGCAGTTAAAATTAAGTTTGAAACTGATTGCGCATACTGTGTGATGTTCAATGAGATATTAATGAAAATCAAGCGTTATCGGAAGTGATGAAGGAACTGTAAAACGATATTGACATACCTCTCCCCAATGAATATTCGGAGGTAACTCAGGGAATTTATCGAAAACATCGTAAGCTATGTTCTCCATGTACCACTGAAAACTTTTACATCGTTTTCGTCTTTTGAATTCCAATTGCTCGGATATATCGCCATGATCGAGCAGCTGTGCTAAGGGCTCCCTTGTATAAAAGAATTCTTTGTACTTATCATCGAACCAAGTCTCAACAACTCTTTTGTAATTCTAAAATAAGGATTTAAATGTAAACCACGTTTAAACCATGTTTATTCACAAAATGCTTATTGAAAAGTTTGTTCACTATAGTTATCAATGGTCCTTTCTTCTTATTCGCCAGTTTGCCAAAAGTATAAGGCATGAAACCTCTGTACACGTGTCCGACATGAGAACAAGGTACCCAAAGAATACTTCCACCACATTGCCATATTTTAAACGACAACTCGAAGTTTTCTCCGCCCCATACGAGAAGGCCGTCGTCATATCCGCCCAACGACAAGAAATATTCACGATTTATCGCGAACAAACCTCCGGCATGAGTAGGTGACCTAAATCGAGTATTTCCTAATTCATGAATATCAAATAATTTCGTTCTACTTCGTATTAAACCAATCTTTAACATTAATTACCTGTACGGCATACTGTTGTAAGGTCGTGATTTCTTTTCCCGAGCAGGAAGTTCATTTTCTTTGTACAACATACCCCACTCGAAGATACCCCGATATAAGTGACCTTCCTGGTACACAGGTCGGTACTCGAAAGTCTTATGATCAATTCCATCAATAATCGGAACTGTCATCACAGTTCTGTATAAAAGAGATTTAATTAAAGATTGCAGGATTACAGGGATTGAAATTTCATTTTTTTCCACTGCAGAATTTCAAATGGGATCAGATTACCTGTCGGCAGCAATTGGAGCCAAAAGAGGGGATAACCAGTTAATATTAACTTCGCAATGGGCGTCCAAAAATACTATAACTTCGCCCTTAGCCTCCCGAGCACCACGCGATCTCGTTCCTATCAAACCTTTCCTTTCATAATTCCTTACTAATTTAACTTTTCCTCCCCACCTCTCTATGTACGATTCCAAATCGCCCTTCAAATTATCTGCAAAAGTATATGATAATAAATTTTCTGTTGCATGAAATATTGTATTGAGTCAGTACAAAAGTTCTTGCCTGATTTGGAATTATATTAAATTGCAATTATGATATAAACGTTTACATTTTATTGGAATATTTTACTGCATAAATCTTTTGATAGGTTTGTAACATAATGCTAAAACAAACATCTATGCCAAAGTAGGATGAAATCTGGACCGCCTCTAAAAATCAAGCACGAACTTGTGCACCTAACTAGTACATTACTTCTGTTTAATGTTATTTCTACCTCGATAAAGTGACTTACCTTTATCAGAGAAGTCATCTACTAATAAAATTTCCTCCAAAAACTGTGGAGGTGTACGATTTATCACACTGTGAACAGTTCTCATTAGTACTGAAAAGCCTTCGTTATGAAACACTATGATTACACTAGTCCGAGGAAGATCCTCTGGATAATTCCAATGCTTGCACCTATGAAAGGAAAAGGAATATTCTTAAATTAGACCGGGTTTAAAGTAAATAGTAAATAAGTATTTGTGAGTATAACTTACTCGGGCATTCTTGTATCAGGAATTGTTCTGTCCATTGATATTTCATCGGAGCATACCATATTCATACCGTACTCTGATTCTGATTGCTGAACATCATTTTGCTGATCGTCTCTAAGTATATGAGGTTTACCTCCTTCGCCAGGTCCACTTTTAACTGGTACATGTTTTGGCTCAAAGTTGCCAAGTTCTTTTACCAAAATTGGGACCTACATTATTAAAATTCATATCAAATAGCAGAATAACTACACAAAATAGTCTTGTAATTATTTTAAAAGAATTTTATTTATAACTTTTATTTTCCTTGATTGAAAATTATTTCACCTTAACATTCTACCTTTCTCTTATTTCATACTATGCTGTGTGTAATATACTGTACATGACATACTTTTATCATTAGTCACTTAGAAAAGAAAGAGTTTCATCCAATAAATTATTAAACTCAACTATCACCAATTCTATGCAAAGTATATCACACAATTCAATGTAAATAAGTATATGCTTAATTACATAGTATATTGAGAAAGAAATGTATTGCTTACTTGTTTTCCTTTAAGACTATCCGACCAATATTCCTTGATATTATTTATGGGTTCCTCAGAAAAGAAATTTATAACAAGGTACAGCGTACATAAAATACAGACAGCAGACAAAGTAATACTGAGAAGACGATTTCTTCTTAACTGTACAATTCTCATTTTGTCTGGTATACTTATCTAAAATAAGAAGTGTCTATTAGAATATTACATTTACATACAACATGATTCGTAAACATAGAGGTGAATAGCGATAAATAAATTAGACAAGAAAACATGAAAATTGTAATTACCTCGAGTAAGTATGCACAGAACGTACCGGATAAAGTAAACTGCAATAAATTAATCTTTCAAACGTGTCGACAACATTAAAAATTATAGCGTACTAAACAGAATCATCGTTTAAAAAATTCTGAAGCTGCGTTGCTTCACAACAGCCAACGTGTCTCTCTTTCACATACTTAATCCCTATTTATTTATGTGTAGGTACGTACACTCACTTGTTTCTCAATCAGATAGCAAATGCACATTTCACCTAACGCACACACACACACACACCTATGTGTTTTAGTATGTATTTCTATTTACACATATGTAATGTGTACTTTTATACAGATTAGGAGGTAATTTCCGAGTTGTTGATGAAAGTTAATATAGAACTGTATTTGACACTGCTATACATAAGAAGTTCATTTAAAAAAATTTCATTGTTAAAATAAGAGAGTAACGCAAGAAAGAATGTAAACATAAACTAAAATTGTATATATGTATTAACACTAACAAATCGCTAAACAATCGTATAATCGTAGGTTATATAATTAAAAAGATTTATAGTGATATGGTCAAAGAGTTATGAGACGTAAATTAAACTAATTAAAGTCATATATATACGCATAAAAATGTTGAAATAAAATTGAATGAATAATGGCCAGATAATTTTTGTAGCCGGACATTAGATGGCGCTGACGTTTGCGGGATTTTTATCATAGCCGCTCACAGAAACTAGAAACTCCATTACGCTCTGTACCATCGTGTCGTGCGTATATATATACGTTGTACAATGCTTTTTGTGTTTCGGTGTTTACGATTACACACGGATTTTGTTTATACTCTACGAGCACGTATATAAATCTAATCATTTTCATCCTAATCGTTTATCAGTACTGTTTTTTCAAATTCTTTGATGTTATCATTCATTCAGTTCTTTGTGTAGAAGTTGAGTGATGTGTTTAATGTGAATATAAAAGTGAACGTCTAAACTCTTCCTGTTCGATAAAAATTGTGGGATAAACATCAAGAAATAGATACGATCTTAATGTTTTTAAAATATTACTATCGTCAAAAAGAGATCAAACACTAACCTGCGAGTTGTACTTGTTTCGAACAAAGGATTGCACACGAAAGAATTAATTGAGCACTGATCTTTTATTTAATTGCAAACCGAATTAGAGAGAAGTGTTATTTAGTCTTTAATTGCCAGAAACATATAAAGTTTTGGCTATTTTATTATTATATTTCACATAAAACAGCAGATGTTTAAAAAATGTAAATGCAACGAGAGACCACACACACGAGTGTTCAATGTACAAATGAACTGTGTTCACAAACTCTGTGCTTTAGAATATAATATCATCTTCTACCTCAAGCTTTCTTCTTAATTATAATTTGAACAAGTGTACCTTTTTTTATTCTATTGCATTGCTTGAAAGCAGTGATAGGATTATTTATTATATATTGACTTGTGAATTACTGTAAAAGTGAATAAACATGACATCTCCGGAAATCGATGATCTGTTATCTGGGCCTTTGGTAACATGGGTAAGTTTCTTACTTTAATAGCATTTACTTAAAGAAGAGAGTTTAGTAAAAGTAACAAATAAGATTCTATAGATATATAATACTTAAATCATTCTTACTTGGAACACTAATTGCATATATTCTTTCTTATTAGTTTGCCAGTTGCTTAGAGGACCCTAATTTGTTAACCAGTTATAATGATTTGGTGGATGGTATATTATTACATAGCGTATTTTTACAAATGTAAGTATTTTCGTCAGAATTTGCATTATTTCAATTGAAAAATATGTACATTTCATGTTTTTACCTATTATAGAGATCCAGAGCCATTGCACGACGAAATTATACCTCCAGCAGGAAATGCTTTGATCCGCACAAAGAATTTAAAAATAATAGTAAACAATATGAGACAGTTTTATGAAGAGGAGTTAGGTCATATAATCCTCAGGTTACCAGACATTGCGAGCTTAGGCAAGGAGCCAGAACTTTACGTTCCAGAAATGAAGCTACTATTGTTATTGCTTCTTGGATGCGCTGTGCAGTGTCCTAACAAAGAAAAATTTATCACGAACATAAAAGCATTGAACGTTGATACTCAGCTTGCTATAGTAGAATGTATCAAACAGGTACGTTTCCTATACTTTACCTTGTTAATCTTGTACTTACAGGGGTCGAAAACAGTCACGCTAACGATTCCGATTTTTAAAACAGTTATTTTCGGAACCTTTTCCATCCCTGTTACCGCCTATAGTTTTCAGAGGCAACGTGCAATTAAAACTAAGTGCTATTATATCTGCTAGCAGTTACCATTGTATTGAGCACATTGCATTTTGGGGATTACTGCTCAGAGAACCCTCACCGCGCAGGTAGTGATCCCCGAAATACAACGTTCCCAACCTAACGGTAACTACTATGAGGTATATTAGCGTTTAGACCAGGGGTGGCCAACTATTTCAGCACACGGGCCAAATTTCAGAAATAATATTTCCTGCTGGGCCACGCACCAAATTCTTTTTGTTAATTAAAGTAAACAAGCAAGCGTGTTACAGCTTTGACCACATCGTCGCTTCCCAGTAGGTGAAATCGTAGTCAAACGCTTGCCTGGTTTAATATAAGAAAACAATTTCAAATTTCTCTTAGCTATAATCTGAAAATATATGATACGAATGACTCTTGATGTATTGTTCTTTTGGTAACATGTATAGTAAAGTTAACATTTATGTTCATTTGATTTAGCTCTGTGGGCCGCAACATGACTCTCGGCTCTGTTAAACGCATGTTGTATTTGAAAACCAGTGTCGACAAGAGTACTTTTTAATCGGTTACATTTAGAAAATAGGACTTCCGGTGCAGTTTTTCGTTTTCTTGATTCTTGCTTTATTTTAGCTTCTAGAATCATTCCCTAAAGTTGTTTCCACTAGTAGCCAAACACTCTGTTGTATTTCCGAAACTCTTCAATCCCTAATCTTGTCAATAAACAAATTTTGTCGAACGTTATTAGGTGACCGATCACCAAGACATAGTTATTACTCAGGAGGCGATGGAGAATGTAAACATGGGCTGTTTATTCACGCAAATAAGGAAGTTGACTCAAGAACTAGATTTATATCGTCAGGTATGGTTCGTTCGAGTAATACCGTTACCATTTTAAAAGGCATTGTGTTAAGAACATCCAATATATTGATTCAATAGAAATGGAGAGATACAGTGGTAAATGAATCTGTTGGAAAAAACGATTCGTCGATTAGCGGGGAGGTTGAGGATATAAATAAAGCGCAACAGTCAAATCCCGTTGTTAAATCAGAACGCGAGGAGAATCATCATTATGCAGTCGAGTTGGCTGATTGGAAATCGAAAGTTAGAAAACAACGACAAGATTTGTACGTACTTCAATTTTGTCATGATTATATAAAATATTTAATTGCTTTGAACTAATTTTGGTTTAAATGTTTACAGAGAAGAAAAAACAGAAGCATTGTTGGAATGCAAAGAAGACCTCGAATACCATAAAATATTAGTTACGAAATTAAAGCAAGAGGTAAGATATCAAATATTTACTTTTAACTTATATTTAGTTCCAGTTATGATTTTATTTTTATAATTTGGTTTAGAACCAAGAATTGATGCACGAAGCACGCACAGCGAAATCTTACAGAGACGAATTAGATGCGGTAATTGAAAGAGCTGATCGTGCTGATCGATTGGAATTGGAAGTAGGACGATATAGGGAAAAACTGACGGATATAGAATTTTACAAGACTCGGATAGAGGAGTTACGCGAAGATAACAGGTAATTAGTAACCGAATTACTATTTAAAATACGATTTTATTTTAGCTTTTATGTGTAATCGTCTCGTTTATCTTAGAGTATTGATGGAGACGCGAGAGATGCTTGAAGAACAATTGAATTCATCACGAAGGAGGGCAGACAAAGTGTTAGAACTTGAGTCTGAGATCATTAAGTATAAGCAAATGTTGAACGACATGGCATTGGAACGGGCGGCTGATAAAGAAAAATATCAAGAGCTGTTTGAGGAAAATACTCAGCTGCACAAGTTGACGAAAGCCGCAACGAACGAAGCTGCCTTGGCTGGTGCTGTAAGCGATTCCGAAGAACCAGGTAGAAATTAAAAATATTTTTAGCAAATCTTCGTAGTTCTCGGTTACTGAGAAGTAGTGAATTATAAGTTTGATGTATGAATTTTATTTAGCGCAAGCTGATAATAGATTGTCTGAACAACTGACGAACAACGCGCAAACACGGGCATTGAAATTGGAATTAGAAAATCGTCGATTAGTTACTTTAATAGATTCGTTGAAGGAAAGTTCATTCCATGAAAACTCGTCCCGCGTATTGGAATTGGAGAAAGAGAAGAAGAAACAATCGTTGAAGATCGAGTCCTTAAACGATAATGTAGAAAGGTTGACACAACAAAATACGGATTTGGAATTAGTGTGGAAACAAGCGCTCGAGGAGAATAAGAAGTTGCAGAATTCTCTAAAGAATCAGAAGTCGTCGTCCGAAAAGCAGCAACAAGAGTTTCAGGTGGGTAACGAAAATTTCTCCTCGTCACTTCGAATTTTATGTTTATTTATTTTTGTTCATTTATTTTTAGACTCAGCATACAAAAATGATAGAGTTGGAAAAAAATAGCGATACGGCGGTGAAAGAAAAGCAACGAGTTCAGTCTTTGTTAGAGAGCGTGCAGAGGCGAGCAGACGATTTAGAGCGTAGTTTAGAGCTCGCGAATCAGAAGGTTGAAGAGTTAAAGATCGTCGAGAATAATGTAAAAGAACTTAACTCCAAGTGTCTTGATCTTGAGTCGAAGCTTGCGGCAGTTGAAAAAGAAAAAGACATAGCTCAACGCGATATTCATCGATATCGGCAAACGATAGAAGTATGAATTCGATACTTCATAGGAATTATTTCTTTTATGAGTTTATTATTTTTCTTTACATATAATCAAAATTTATATAACTAAAAATAAACTAATGAACTGTATTTCAGGAGAAAGATGTTGCATTGGACAAAGCAGCAAACAGCATTGAGGTATTAGAAAGGAAAATAACGCAACTCGAACAAGAACTTCACGACTCCGTTACACAAATTTCAAGGTATTTCATATTTACTACATATTCGTTTGTTTATTGTAGGAACTTGACTAAATTATTTATTATGATAGATTGCAAGAAATCGAAAGGTCCAGTAAGGAACTGGATTCGCGAGCAGCTATCGATAGGGAGACGTTAGAAATCTTACAGTCAAATTTAGTGGCCGAAAAATTGAACACGCAGCAGTTATACACGATTCTAGAGAAACTTGGACTTACCGATAACATGCTAGCGTCGCTTCCATGGGAAAATATACTTAAAAAGTAATGTAAAACGAGTTTGATATGCTTTCAATTTATTATTTAATAATGTTTGATATTTACAGAATCGCGCAAATTCCGGAAGTCGTTGAATATATAAAAGAATCGAACGATTCTTGTAAAAAATCAGTACCTGAGTCTACAACTTCCGAAAATAATGAGACTAGTGATATTCATAGTACATTAGAAGCAACTGTAGAATCGCTTAAGGTACTTTAAAATTAAGAATACACGCATTTTAAGAGAAACTTGTAACTATTCTACGAGATAATACAATCTGTATTATGTGATTTATAGAAGGAGCTGGAACATTTGAATATGAAACTGGTTACCGCGCACACAGCTTCAGAGAATCTGTTGTCTGAAAATACCAAGCTTGAAGTACAAATAACAACGCTACAATCGCAGAATAATTCTTTGGCGGCGCAACACACCGCCTTACAACTCGCCAATTCGCAACTCGTTGCTGAGAAAGAAGAGGTAAATAATGTCACTCTGTATATTTTTTCTCAATGGGGAAAATCCCTTTACTAACGAATTTTTGGTGACGAAATTATTTATTCTACCAAATAAGAATTTTGCACAAAGATTACATAAAAAATACCATCCTTAAGAGTTAATTCCATCCTAGTTTCCAGAAAAGTAGCTTATTAAAATGTACAGTGATCTCAAGGGACTACAGACCAGCTTTGTAAAATATACCCACCGAGATAGGTGTACTTTGCAAAACTGGTCTGGAATCCATCAATTGTTATACAATTTTTTTAATTTAGTTGTTGAAGGAACGCAGCGCACAACAACAAGTTCACGCACAACTTGTTCACGATCAAGTCACATTGCAAGCGTTGCACGAACAATTGAACAATGAATACGAGAATCTATTCCACGAGCACGATGCTTTGAAATCGAATTTACGGGATTTGAAGAATGAGATCAGGACGTTACGCGAATCGAGCGAATGTCTTAAAGTAAAGAATATATCGTTACAAACGGAAAAGGAATCGTTAACGAACGACGCCAAAAGTTTGAATAATTTGAGGGGAGAACATTCAAAATTAAAGGTATTTAACGAATGTTAAGAATACGTTTGCAGCTGTGAATATCGCTTATGATTTCAGGACGACTTCAGAAATTTGTATACTGCCACGGAAAAATTGAGAATGGAATATAGGAATTTACAGGAACAATATAGGAAGAATAAAATTGAGATGAATCGGCTGAGTCTAAAGTTAACTGAAATGCAAGGCGAGCTTAGCAGCAAAGATGATAAATGTTCCAATCTAGAACTGCAAATTAATAAGTTGAATCAGCGTTGCGAGGTACGATTGAATCATTCGTCAAATTACTTAGAGATACATTTAGTACACACTTATTCTAATCACTATTGTTGATTTAGGTGCTATTACACATGAATTCCGGCTTAGATAACGACAGACGATCATTGATGGACAACATTAGTTTATTATTTAGCCAGTACCACGAACTCTTAAATCATTCTCTTGAAGATAAAGAATATTATCACAATGAGGAAAAAATGTACGCGTAAGTATCTCAAAAGTAACTGTCGAATACATTTTCTTCTATTATTTATGATACTAATATTAATGTTTATTACAGAGAAAAAGTAAATCATCTGTGTAGGCAGAAGGAAAAATTAGAAGACAAGATCATGGAACATTACAGAAAACTAGAAAGTTGTACTCCAAAAAAGTGAGTGATGATACAGTCTTCTATATTAAATTAGTTACATGTATTTATATGTATAAAATTTGTGATTGATGTTTTTATAGGAAGGGAATTGGAGCTAATATTTTTCGCAGAGTTCGAAAAGCTGGGTCAGAATTTCTTAACAAGGCAAGCAAAAGTGTTTAACATTAGATGTACGATATTTTCAAAACTCATAACACTGAATTTATGTAAAATTAGAATCGACGATCTTGGGCCGATGATTCGAAACAGTCTGAAGGAAAACCTTACGAGTCTGAATCGGGGGGGAATGACTCCGATGCTAGCACAGAAGATCAACGATTAGCGGGTTAGTGTGTACTAGTGTGACAATTTTAATTATTTCTATATTATATTTATATTAGGTGAGAGCAATTATTCGTGCCCTATTTTTAAAGGCGGACCAGATTTCATAGTACTTCGTCATAAATGTTTGTTTTAGCATTATGTGATAAACGTATTAAAAGATATTATTATACGTCTCATTGTTGATTTAGATTGTTTTATGCACAAGAGTGGTTTTTCAATATGAAGAAAGAAAAATTGATTATCACTGTTATGCGAGTTTCGAACAAGGTTGCAAACAAACGATTAAATCTTTAATTCAACTAAACATCAATTAGCAACTAACGTTTAACTTTTAATTCTAATTTGATTATTTAAGCATAAAAAGTATGTAATCGGCTTAATTAGAAGAAATTCGAATTAATGATTGAATTAAAAAATACTCCAACTATCGATTAAAATTTTAATCGTTAATTGTTAATGCGGTAGTTAAACAATCGAGGATCACTCATAATATGTATGCAGAAATACATAAATTTTATAGATCTTATAAAATTAAAATTTGTAAGGAACTAATTTTCCTGGTCAATTTATTTTATATGTAAAGAAAAGCAAAAATGGTTCTAATTCTTATGAAGAACTACTCACTAGAACATTATAACTTCATAAAAAAATTTTACCATAAAATGTAAACAATGTGAATAAAATAATATCTTTGTAAATCAGGCAAGAACTTTTGCACTAGCTCAATATATTATTCTATTTGTCGTAAATAAAAAACTGATTAGATATTAAAATAGTTGTATAATTTAAGGCTCAACTAGAGGTCTTGGATCGGACTCATTATCATTGGGACACCCAGGTACGAGAAGAACAGTATATTACACTGACGATTCCCCGCCGCCAGCAACTAGCTTGCCAGTACGTTCCTTCCATTATTATTACGCCTAACATAAGTAATAGGACCGGCTCAAATGTTCTGACATCTGTTTGAACACGTTTCCACTAACTGTGCTAGGCATTGGTAGAATTTTCATTTTGATGCGGATGGAATGTCTACTGTATAGTCAAAAGAAACATATAACAAATGCTGTGAAGAAGCGGTTTATTGTCCCTCACACGTCTGATACACTAATTAATGTGTCTCTCGCACGTGTGAGAGATAGTAATCCTATTATACAACAGTAAATTAGTGTGTCTTTGACTCAACTATAACAGGAACAAGGAGACGATAGACAATCGGTATTGTTGGAGCAAACGCCGCGGTCGGAAGTGCAGGTGGAACCACGACCGGTCCTCATATATAATAAAGTGTCGGCCGTTATAAACGAATCGAAGAACCTTAACAATAGCGGGATGAAAGATGTGGGACAAGAAGAACCGATGGTGGAAACCCCACTGGATAAGGATTCGAAAGCGGGCAACCAAGTATGGTACGAATACGGCTGCGTATGATTCCATTTGCTTTACTTCCACTTCGTATTCGCGTGCTTGCCAACAGATTCGTGCTTTTTTGTATTTTGTAATAGTGTGATTTAATTATTTTGTAATCAGTCGATGTAGCGCATTTGTATGCATTGTATTGAAAGACATATACGCGTGTTCAACGTTTCAAAATCGAAACATTAATTGAGTTCCTAAGGTTCATGATGACAATGTTTATATCAGATATTGATTTTAAACAAAAAAAGAATTCTCGTATTATTAATTCCAGATCGATGTACAATTAACATTGCACTGACATCGCTCAATATAAATTTATATTAACGCTCATATACAAATGTTGATCAGCGATGTCAGTGCTATGTTAATTGTAAGTCGGTCTCGAATTAATAATGCGAGAACATCCTCGTTTGAGAAACGCTGTAACAATTGTATAAAGTATTAAGAAAATGACCTAAATATTCGACGGGTATTGTCGATATTTAATTCGTTTCTAACTCAATCAATAAACTAATTATACTAATTGCATTGTGTTTTTTTTTATAAAACAAAATTGTAACTACTATAAGGACAATAAAAAACTCCTAAAATATAAAATTAAGCAAGTCAGACTTTAGCAGACATATGATATGTGTATATTCAATATATTCCATTAGGTCAGTACGATTTTTAGCGAATTAGATCTCATCATCAATTATGTTACAAACCTATCGAAATGACTCAGCCTCATATGTCTCAAATACTGTTCATTTAGGTTGATTTCTGCATAAGAACAAGATTTCAATATGAAGAGAGGAAAATTCATTTTCGCTGTTATGTTATTCAAGTGTTAGAAGAGCATACGTGTTGAAATTATAACAAAAGTAATTCTGTTTGGAAATTTGAACTGAGATCCTGCTCTTCAAGCAGTGAAAAGTGATTTGTTCCATTTAAAAATGTGATTTCGAGGTGGTCGATCAACTTTGATCTATATAGTTGATCTAGTTTCTATCCAATTGTTTGTAAAAAGAATAATAGAAAATAGGCCTCATAATAGTTTTTATCGTGTGAATGAAATAATATCTATTTTCCAATCAGGCACGAACTTTTGATCTACTATAAAACCAGAAACAATTTTTGAGTTTCTTGTAGCGATTTTTTAATGCCTCGGAAATTAATGGATTAGGCGTACGATGCACCTTGATAAAGTCTCACGGTTGAAGGTCTCTCACGCGTCTCATCGTCAAGGGAACGTTTGGCTCGTTCGTTTTTTGTCATTTTCCTACGGGTCGGGAGCAGGAGGTTCCCCGGTGAAAAAAAGCTGACCACCGTCTGCTCGAACCCTTTCTGAATTATTTCTCAGGCTTCAGAAATTTGCATACGACGCATATCCAAGGAATTACACTGCCGCGCTGTCGGGTCAGATGTTTCACATTTTTTTCAGAACTCTTATTGTTACGGGGAAAAATAGAGCATTAGATGTGGGGACACGCGTACTATCAGATGTTAGAATTTCGAACACTTGTATATTATACAATGAAGAGGCTTTTTATTCAAATTCTTATGACCTTAATTATTTTATTATTTTTGCAAATACTGATTTTCCTTCTCATTTATCAAGTGTTTTCTCTGAATATTCAAGAAGTTGTAAAAAACAATACTAACATCTGGAACGTACGTTATATTTTTGCAAGATAAAGTTGAACGAGGCGAGCCCGTCTTTTCTAACTTACTCTTCGACGAGCTTGTCAGCGTCGGGCAAAAAATTCTCGCTCGCAGCAGCGGTTGGCTAGCAAAACCACCCTCTCCCGTTTTTTCCATTTACGGGAATAAAAATCTTTCCCTCTATTTCTACTGGTGCGGAAAAGGTAGGCCAACGGAGTGGGAACGGCGCAGGATGGTCCAGGGAGTTCGCGGTGGTAATAGTAGTGGGTGGACGGGAGCAAAAATAGGGCTGGCAGAAGCAAGGGTAGCGGACTAGACCAGGAAAAGAACTACGATGCCGTTGAACGGCAAAAAATCAAGAATAATCCACCGCGATCGTGAGAAATGGCTATGGGAGAAAAAAGCCGCTGGTAGACGTAATTGATCTCGTGGTATATTTTCGTTAACGACGCACAATTACATAAGCAAAAGTCAGGGAGAGATAGTTTGATGAAGAAAACCTCATTACGACAAAGAAATGAAGATTGCACCGTCTTATTAAGATAGTATTTGTACTACAACGATATTCAAAAGTTCGCTGCGTATATCTAGATATACAAATACCAAAATTTCTTATTGTTTAGGAGAACAGAACGAAAGTTCTAAATGTGAGTGTATGTGTCGCCTGCCTCTTACGTTTTTCCTCTTCTAAACTTTTATTTTTTGCTCTATCTCATATTTTATTTAACAATTTTTGTTACATAACACTGATCACTCTGATCTTTTAACAGAAGATTCTTTTCATCCTTTTACATGACATTAATTTTTTGTAAACATTGTAAAAGCAGTTCTTTTGCTATAATTAAGACTATCAGTTTCGTGAGGGGTCATGTTAAAAAATGAAACTTTGAGGATGAATATTTCGCTGATCATGACGCTAGCCTTCCTGTAATTTTAACCATCGATATTAATAATGTCATGAACATATAGTTAAACTTAAAAAAGATCGCAAGAAAATTAATTTTCTCGACTATTACTTTAACAATTTGCAGACCTACGGTAATTTGTCTCTAACGCGGCCCATCGTTTTTATCTCTGAATTAACAAAAGATCAGTTGAGTAAATTAGCAAAAAGTAATGAGACGATCGTGATGGAGGGTAGATGAACGTATGAATTTTGCGGGGCCGCTCGCGGACCGATGGTGGGGGTAAAGAGGTCGTACGTTCCTTCTACGGGGGGTGCATAGGACGAGGGGCGGAAAGATAGCTTTTTACAATGCGCCTTCTTTCCGTCCCCCTTGCCTACCTCCTCGTTCCTCGTTCACCGAGATGGTGAAGACGGTAGGGATGGTAGGAAGATACTTTTTGCGCATCGGCATCATGGTCTTAAGGTGGGGCATGTATGTCCTACGTACACAGCTAGCAAGTATCTATGTAGAGAAAATCATAAAACTCGCGAATAGGGTAGCTAAAGGATGCGACGTTCCAGCGGTGGACAGTTTCCTTACTCTTACTTCCAGAATTATAATTCTTATTCTATTACTATTTATTCATAGTTCATACCTTTCGATCTTACAATTTCCCATATGTTTCTGATCTTATATTCCATATTACATCTTTTCAATCTCTCATTTCTCTCTCTGCCTCAGAAAGGCACTTGTTTTTCACTTGTTTATCACTACCCTTATACTCTGTGTGCTTTCTCACTGTAATTTACTTACTCTCTAGCCATGTACATACATTCGTATCTCTCCCTGCTTTTTGTCTTAAATTAATATATCTTTTTATTTATTTATTATATATGTGTATTGTCCATTATACTATTCTTTCTTTTCTAACTCATTCCCTCTTCCCCTTAAGGTATAAAATACCTAGATTATTTTCTTCTTATTTCGCGCCTGCCTCTTCTTTATTTCTGCTTTTTCTCAGAACCTAATTATTTAAATCATAAGTATAAACGATGTGTCTTCGATACAATATTTGAAATTTAGAAATCTAATCTCAATTCATGTTACATAAATTAGAATAATGAATTGATTCATGTTAGACATGTTAAAATAATGAAAAAGAATCCATTGTCAATACAGTAAACTAACGAGTATTTCTGTTTCATTAGTACTTATCATAAAATTAGTGTATTAATAAAACATGAAACGGTTTGATCGCTGTATTATCTGCGAGAGTGTGGGTAGCGTAAGAGATTTATGTACTCACCGTGGTCAATGCGGTACATAATGCCAATCGTAATTCACTGTTGAAAGAGGTAGGGATGCGATACGAGGAGCAGGGATAACCACACGTGAACTGGGCGATAGTGGGGGCATTATTGCACGTTGCTCGAAGCGAGTAGTGGGGGTACGGCATAGGCACGTAGTGGAATCACTCGGTGACCAGCAATGCGTGCCGCGTCATCGTTCTTAAGTGTCTCGCTGTCGCTTTTCAAAGTGTTTAGCGCGATCTTCCATTCGGTTCGTTTATATACAAATTTCAATCACGTTAACGTAGTCGCACAAAAAAACATCCGGTGTTATTGCAAAACTGATAGAAAGTTGCATTAATTTAAATAATTTAAGTGACACATGATCGTATGAGAACAAGTAATTCGTCCTTATCGTCTGTTCCTTATTCCGTGTTTAGTTTTTTGAACGAGGAATAACTTTCCGATCTTATTCGTATTTTCACGTGTTGGTCATGTCAGAACAGAGTCCTCTTTCTCAATCGATTCGTGTAGCATATCCGGTGAGAAATCTTATCGAAGGTGTAAGGGCTCGAAAGCGTTGACGTGAATGAAAGAACCGTTGTTGGAACATTGTTCTCGAGTGTGGTGAGTGCGTATATCGCGGGGGATAACGGCCTCCCGCGAGAGGGACGAACGGAAAGTGGCGCGTTCGTGCGTCGAAAATGGAGGGTCGCGTGCTCGCCGGTTCCACCACGGAGGAAACGACGGCGGCGGTGACCACAAGCTGCGGCATCGGCGCACCCTCACCGGTGGCTACGATAAACGCGACGATACCTGGTACCGGCGGCCTCACATCGGCTACTTGCACCATACAAAATCCCGTGGTCGTGGTGGCCAGTCAGCCGACCAAACACCAAACGCAGACCGGCCCGGTGCTCTCCGCTATCCCTACTGTCCCCGCTATTCCGTCCGTTTCCGGTGTTTCCGCGGTCAGCGCCGTTCCCGCCGCTGTGCCGAAGATGCTCAGCAGGAACGTCAACGGCACGTGTAAGTTCATATTTTCATACGTATATTAATGCAGTCTGTTCCACAATTATTGGTGCATCGATTCTTCTTTAAATACAGTGACTTTTATTAATATTTGTACATATTTCCAAGTTGAATAACTTTTTTAATATTAGGCCAATTACCTTGTTATTTTTTAGGGGTAAGAAGAGTAATTTCCTACATAATGTACAGAAAACAATTGCTATTAGTTAGAATCATAAAGGAACAGTAAAGGTCGTAATTTCTAAGTTCTTTATTTTAATGAAAATATAAAATACTCTTTTTGTAGATAAGCATATTTAAAATTTGTAGACATGAATAAAAAAGTTAAAAAACATGTCTTTCCCTTTTCCATTTGAGATTTCGACGAGTAGCAATTTTTTAATTTTATAGTGTAATCTACAACCTTAAAAATCATGTCTTACTTTTTCTTTCATGATTCTGCTATTTTATTCTGATATAGCTATTTTTTTTACATTTTACCTAGAAAACTTAATCGTCTGACATTTAAAAAAAATTATATACAATATTAAAGAAGTTATTCCCTTTTGAAATTGTGTCCGAATATTAATAAGGGCCATTAATTTATGTATAATGTCAATCATTGTACTTAAAATTTTAGAGAAATGACCAGCGAGTAAAAATTATGATGTGAACAGAGATTGGGACCTTAGTAGAATCGATATGACCGGATCTGTTTCGATGTGTAGCTTATGGTTGGACTTCGAAGTAACATGATATGCGATATTTTATTTTACACATCAAAGTATAAACGTTTTAGTTAGACAATATTCAGAAAATTCTATTCTGTATGTAGATCATGTGATAGAGAAATACGTAACATGTTGACATGCACACGAAAGTATTTAAACAATGTACAGAACACATGTAAAAATGACGTGAAAAAAAGTCATTCGTACGTTAAACTTATTGTTAGTTACATATCATAAACAATAGAAATATTTGAACTATGATCATCCGTTCGCGAACATCCATTCTATTCATAGTCCGAATTCCGAATATTTTACTGTTCGCTTCATTTAATTGCAAATTTACATTACGTTCATAATCCTTCAATATCTATTTCATTTAATGCATGTGGTTCGAAGGCTTTCATGAATGGAATTTATGTTATTACGAATAAAAATTATACTTAAAAAATATGATGAAGTCAATAAATATTATACTATTTCTGATGTATGTTACTGGCTCATTCGACACGTACGTACGTGAGTACGAAGTCGATGTGCTTTGTCTACTCGCGATAGGAAGAGGCATGAGTCAGGGAGTAGGTAAAAAGCGTCGCGGTGTGCAAAAAGACGGTTTTTCTTCCGCCGTCGGTGAGCAACTATTGCGAGAAACGTTTTTACCGGTTTCTTACGAGATGAAACGGCCAATGGAAGTAACCGTGTTTTCAGCGCGCGACCGCGCGGAATCGAGCATTGCAGACTAAATGGTAAAAAACCGCGCTTGGTTTCGCGGTTTTGCCCGACGTTTCTCCGAAACTTGAAATTACGAGAGAGGATATTTCACAAAGACGCCGGTTGGTCCATCGGCTGTAAATGGCCGCCTCTACTTTTTTCCCATCCGTCTCTATACTCTCGGTCCTTTTTCTCGATTCACGTTTTTTCGTGTAAAAATTTCTGGTTAGAAATGCACAATCCATAAAACCTACCAGTTTCTCATGACTTTTTTTACGCTACTGAAGACAGTAATCTTGAAGTAATAAAATTGTGAGAAGCACAAGTTTTTAAGATGATTAGTAAGTAATTTTTTAGAAATAAATGAGACAATTGTTACGATGAATAAAATTAATATTGATCTCTAATCAGAGAAAAAGGCTTATGATTCGATTTTTTTCATTCGACGAGACTTTGGTACGAAAAGCCTACAGGCTGAAGACTTGTGCTCGTAACCTAAATTATAAAAACCTAATCATTAATGGAAGATTGGAAAATGTGATTATACGATGGCAGTAAGAAGTTTGAAAGAGACGATGGTCGCTTCGCAATGATCGAAGCGATGGAACGAATGGAATGTTACATTTGTAGCAGTTTAATCTGTGGTGAAGAATCCGTTGCGGTGGTGGGCCCGTGTTTGCTTAGAATTAGTATGCGAGCGGCGGCCTATACGAAACAGCGGGATAATTCGGAGCGCCATAAATTTTAGGCCGAACGCGTGTAAAAACGGCCACTTGCTCGCTGCTCCGTTGCTATGCAACTTGACAAAAAACCTGCGAGTTTTTGCGGCAAGTTCGCTGGATTCCCGCGCTTACTTAGAACTTATCGAGCCAAGAATTTTTTTTACCTCGCTCGAACGTGTCTACGGCAGCATTCTCGACCCAACCAGTTTTATTATTTCACGATTATCTGCTCTTTCTTACGGTGCGGGCAAACAAATCATCTCGAGGATCGTTATCTCGAGGGTCTTTTAATTGTTAAACGGAGAACGATTTTTAGTAAGTACATTTTTGTATCAAGCAGATTTTAATATATTTCTTATGACAATTTTGACAAAAGATTTGAGAAAGAGCATGATGCTGTACTGGTTCTAAATTTTATATTCGGATTTCTCGCTTTCTTGAATCGTCAAAGGATCGTAGAAAGGGTTACGGTCCTTTACATCAGGCTGTCTTCACAAATCAGTTCGTCGCTGAAATTAGCCTGTATTCGTGTTCACCCACCCACGGGTCGCCAAAGATTTTTCGATTTGTATTCAGATTACATTCATCCCTTGAACGTTGGCACAGTGGTATGCACTGAAAGCTCGTTCAGAAGGCGTACGCAGAGTACACAGGACCGAATCAAAGAACTCGTTAGAATAAAGCAGCTGCGTGTACGCTGCTAATATTTGTGCCGGTCCATCATATTGTTTGAACACGCGGATTTTCAAATTTTATTATCAGCTGCAATTTGTCAAACGAAAAGTTAGTTGCAGCAATTTATCAATTAGAAATAGGTATATCTATTGTTATAATGTAATGTAATTATTTTATTGTCTTACAACATTATTGTACGTGATGGTATACGTATATGTGAGAATTAGGACAGTTTTAAAGGTACCAAGAAATCTGATACACATTTCATTCATTTTATCATTTAGTAAACAGAACATTGAATCAATTACTATGTCAATCATTTTGTCAATCATTATATGAAAAGTTATATCAATAATATATCAATCATTACATGACAACATGAAACATCGCACTAAATATTGTATCAAGTATTACAGCAATTACAAGATGGATTAATGTATGAACTAACTAGATATAATATCAAGGAACATTTTATGTTCATCTTCACGCGTGCTACAAAGGGCCCGTTTGTCATAGCGTCGAAGCTATTTAGCCGATCGTTCGTTGAATCGGTGATATTCCCACAAGAGGGTCTCCGGTTTTTATATCGTTCGCGAATAAATTAAGAGGCAAGAAGTCCGGGGGACCGGGAACCGCTTAAATCCCTCTTATTTTCTCGCGTATCACCTTTCCCCCTTTTCGGTTTTTTTTTTCATCGCTGCTTCTTGTTCTAAACGACATAATCCCGAAAACCGATGCACGGCTGCGCCCTCGCCTCTCTACCTGTCGATCCGGCACCGCATGAGAATCAAACGCGCTATGAAAAACACTCGCGAACCCTCTACTATAGCTTCTCAGTGATCCGGCCGGACCCACCGGTCCGGCTCAACCCCGTTTAGCCTCGAACGGCATATGCATATCCGCCACCCTTTTACATCAGTCTCACGAAAAAAAAGTTGGAGGTCTGGCTTAGAAGGGTTACCTTGAGACCGACGACAATAGTGTCATGAGTTCTACTTCATAGTATTTCTTCAAGAATGTGATTGAATTTCTGGACTAACGAGAAGCAGACATGATCTTTTAACTCTAGAATCATACGTATATGTATGTATGTACCTGCATATGTATATAATTTGGAAAGTTGGTTCAGCTCGATTCATTATCTCATTATCAGTATAGAAATTAGGATTTTAATAGTTGAAAATATACCTAATCATGTCTGATAAATAATTAGAATATTATGTATAATAGAATAATGTGTGAAAATAAATTCTTAAAGAACTTGGCTCGCGACTTAAAGAATTCGGCCACTGGTGAGCACATGCATACATATACGCCACCCTTTTAGATTAGTCTCACGAAAAAAAGTTGGAAAAGGTCTGACTCAGAAGGGATTACCTTGAGACTGTCGACAATAGTCTCATCAGTGCTGTTTCATAGTGTTCATTCAAAAACGAGAATGAAATTCTAGACTGCGAAGAAGTAGATCGTGATATTTTAAGTTAAAAATCATATGCATACATACAATAGTATGTACATAGAGTTTTTTTTTGTAGGAGGAAGGCATTCAATCTCATTAGGGAATTCATTTCACTCAGTTCATTGTCTCCTAATAGAATCGAGTACCTTAAACATCTTTTTATAACTGCAATTAAGCCTCGATTAAGTAATTTCAAATATTCCAGCAATTTTATATTAATTCATTCTGCATATTTCAGGAAATGAGCTGTGTTTACTTATTTCACTGAAAAGCTTTGTAGCAGTTATTATAAATTATAACAGGCAGTCATAACTTTAAGATTTGATATTTTTCATAAGAATTAATTTTTTAGTAAATTAGATTTGTTCTAGAATTCATGAACCTGGGTACTGCAAAGTTCATCATGCTGATAATTTTAACTTATTATTACTATTTCAATTCACAAAATTCATTTTAGAAAAACAATAAATCTTAAGAGTAGACTAATGAAATAAAGAATTGTACCTTGAAATAAAGTAGGCATGGTCGTATACGTGTATATGAATACGTTTGACAAATAAGCAGTATCTACTCGTATTCTACTACTCGTACTACTAGGTATTCTAGTGTATAGAAGAATAATGTAGAAAAAGAAATTTTCTGTGAATGCGGTTCGCAATTCGGGCACCGAGTGGGCATATGCATATCGTCACCCTTTCCATCCGTTTATGAGACAAGGAATGA